ATAGTGATAAACCAATTGAGTGGAGATGACTGTCAGCACCCCTTACACGCCATTCAGGGGGTATGGGTTGATCAAGGTCCATATTTTCCATCATCATAAGTGGTTTATAGAAATTTATAAATATTTTATTATACGAATTTAATATTATTTCAAATGTTATAATTTTAAATTCTGATACTATATTATTTGTCTAGTTTATACGAATAAGATATATGTTAACATCTGAAAATGTCAAAACAAATTTTATTTAAATAACATTATTAAATTAGTAATAATAAAAATATTTTGCTCACAATAATAAATTTTAAGTGTCATTATATTTATTATAAAAAACAATTTAATATCATTATGTTTTATTATTTGTGAAGTTCTAGAAATTAATTATGTTACAAAACAATTTTAAGTACATTTATGAATAAACATTAACGTTATTATAATATTATCAAATACCAAAGTATGTGCAAATGTTTTTCGTAAATTGTACCAATTAATAATTTTTTAATAATGTTTACTGTATGTTATGTGTGAATATAAATGATATTTATTACTAATATTATTAAATATCGTTATATTTTATTATTTTCGTAGCTTAATTAATTATTTTTTATTCAATTGACCCAGATAAACATTGAAAATAGTCATTAAAGTACTATAAATTAGTACAGTATTTGTATTGTATTTGTATATATGTGGTCAAAACAATAATATGTTATAATATTTTTATAAAAACATGTTTTCAGTATGTTACATACAAATAAATTAACTACAAATATTAGTAAATATAATATTTTATTATTTGTCTAGCATAATTAATTACATTATTTTCTTGAAAAACATTGAGAGATAGTCATTAAATTAAATATTTAATTTATTAAGTAATAAATATCATTTATATTCACACATAAAATACATTAAACATTATTTAAATTATTGATTGGTACAATTTACGAAATACATTTGCACATACTGTGGTATTTGCTAATATTATAATAACGTTAATGTTTTTGTCATAAATGTACTTAAAATTGTTTTGACAATTTTGTCAATTTTATTAACTATTTTTATAAACAGTTTTATAACAGAATTAACAGTTTTATAAATCGATATCATTTTTAAAATAATGATATAATCATTTAACGAAATAAATCCAGTTTGAACAAGGTAAAATGTTGTGCAGATATTTTATGCTTCATGTCATACAAATAAAATCCAAATTTATTATATTTAGTAATTATTTCAAAAGTCGACTCATTTAATGTATCATTTAAAAAATCTTATAAAATTATAGTCATTAATACAGGTTGCACAAATATTGCCAATATAAAATACACTCTACAATTACATTTACACAAACAATAGTTAATAATTGTTAATTTAAAATGCATTTACATTTGTATATTTGTACATTTATTATTGCCAATTTAAAATATACAAATACTAGTCCAGGTACCATACACTAATAATGATGCCAAGTTAGTAATGATATTTTCTAGAATTTTTATTAATATTTTTTGTTTGCTTAACAAAATTTATGTTTTATGTACAATAGTGGAAAATTAAACATACAAGTTTGAATTTTTCATTAATCTTGGTAATTTATTACTTAGTTTTTTAAATTTTATTACCATTAAATAATAAACAATTTTTTTCATTTGTCGTATCACTGGTCAATACATCTCGACTATAAACTAAACTTTTATTAGGCAATGATTTTGTAATATTCGTTGTTTTGTCGGATTGTTCAATACTTTCAGCTCCAGACTACCTGTCCCTTAGGGGTCGACTCGACTTCAATCGCATCGGAATTGAGATCCGTTTCGGTATCAATCGAGGGGTTAAACTCCGGACTGACTGTCGGTTCACTCATTCCTGTCTCCCATTTGTTTGCATTCATTGTTGACTTAGTTTTGCATAAAATGTATTCATTAATGAATTTAATGTCATTATTAATGACGATATGTATTATAATTACGTATCAAAAATATTGTTAATAAAGTATTTTACTATTTAAGTAAAATATCAACTACTTTTTATAATATTATACTGTAACTTTTACAACAATAAAGTATATAATAATTGCTCGCAATATTTTGTGGTTAATAAAATATTTAGTATTTATTTAATATATGACTTTTATACAAGGTTATAAACATAAACCTTTGGTTTATTGGACAAATATTTTTTAAAATAACAAAATGCTCTAGTTACTATACAAACTAAATGTTAACAGATTAATAACATTGCTCGACATAACGAACATAACGAACTCGACCGTTGTACCCAGGTATATTTATTGTTTATTATGCAAATGTCCTGGGTTAAAAAACAAGCGTTTGCTAAAGGTGTATTTTCGAATTTCTGGATTTAAATGCAATGAGTCCACTCCAAACGTCTCAATAAAATCATCTTCCATACGGGATATAGTCTACATTGAATTAAATGTATGTGGTATTTAAATACTAAATTAAGCAAGGTTCTCGTAATTAATTAGATGAACAATAACATTAAAGCTACCTTATGAAATATTTCTTCAAGATCCTTATACCACGAATATTGCGCAATGTTATGGCTTAAGGCTCTACCAAAATACGAGTAACCATCACCATGCCACTGTTCGTTACCTAGGTCGTAAGCATATTAGTAAGTTAATAGACGTACAAACTAGCATGGCCAACTTTCCGTTGGGAAATTTTCCTTATAAAGGTTTAATTTGAATATTATTTTGCTGTTTAATAAATATTCATATTATAATCCAAATTGAAAAATATTTTTAAATAAATATATTAGCATGGTCAAGATTTTATAAGTAATATGGAAACCCGGGTTAAATTATCGTTGCCTCTTTTAATAAAATTTGTCTTTCAAATTAACTTTAAATAATTCCCTTTTTCTGATAATAATAAGAATTTATTTATAAATAATAGAATACTATTGTTGTAGATAATTATTATATTTAGTAAAATTAGACAACACAATTTAGTAAATTTTTAAAATTCTAGATATGTTAGGTTTATGGTTTTGTCCGAATTATAATTGACAGATATATTTCAAATTGTGTTTCATACCTTGAGCGCATGAATAAATTACAATTGTGCGTTGATTGTTATTTTTCCATGATTTATCAACATTAGCTAGCTCATCATTCTTATTCACCATTTCATATCGTTTGCTGAGTTCGGGATCAACTACAAATATTGGATATAATTATTTATCAATTTAAAATTAATTACAACCATGATCACTTATAACAGATAATAACATATTGTAAATCTATAAAAGGAATACCCGATCGGCAGCAATTGAAAATAAATATCTTAGGTTTTTGTCCAAGGTCAGGGCAAACCTTCTTGTTAAATTTATCAATAATATTTTTTGTTAAAAATAATTCGCCATCAACATCCACAATACCCTCATTGCAACCGTGACCGATATACATAAATATAAAGGCATCATGCTCATCGTTAACTTTAGTGCGCGTATCATTTAATATTGAATCTAGCTCAATTCGCGTTAAACCCGTAGTTTTTTGAATATCCGGGACAACAAAATCCAGTTGCTTGAATATGTTCACAAACACATTGGCCTCGCTAGCTAGAACAGGGTCGTTTAAAACGATCAAGGCAATTCCTCGTGGCCTGGCTGTCATCTCATAGCTATTGGTTAATACCGGCGCCGATCGTAGTACATTCGCCTTGACAACTTCTAGATATTCGTATTTATAAGTCATAGGCTTTTCCGACGTGTTATATTGTCGTAGTAGGCTGGCCTTTTCAGTATATCCACTTTGATCGAGTATTTGAGCGAGCTCGTTGCATGGTACTCTGTCCCTGGTGAACTCCAGAAATATCATTATTTTACGGCCATCTTCGGGCAACTTCTAAAATATATAAATTAATTTTGAATTTAATAAATATTTTATACAAATTAAAAATATCATTTATCATAATGTATAGTAAATTAAACGCATTGATGTATAGTAATATATTATTCACTATACCAGTGGTTGTCACTCTATAAATATAGTGATAACTAACCTTGTAACAACGTTACATTTTAAAGCATTTGATTCAACACTAGTTATTTTATTAATCTCTGTCATTTGAAATTAAAAGTCATAATTTGAAAATTATTAATAAATTCCTTTTCATACATACAAATATTTATTAGTCATAAACTTGATCATTATACTTTGCTTATTATCAATACTTATGATTAACAAATCTTCATAAATATAATAT